AGGATCCTGGGATCGAGCCCCGCATCGGGCTCCCCGCTCAGGGAAGAGCCTTCTTCTCCCACTCCCCCTGCTTGTGCTCCCTCTCTTGCTGTGTCTTTCTCTGTCAAATAAATAAATAAAATCTTTTTTAAAAACAAGGGGTGCCTGGGTGGCTCAGTCATTAAGTGTCTGCCTTCGGCTCAGGTCATGATCCCAGGACCGTCCTGGGATCCAGCCCAACATTGGGCTCCCTGCTGAGCAGGGAGCATGCTTCTCCCTCTCCCTCTGTCCCTCCCCCTGCTTGTGCTCTTTCTCTCTCTCTCAAAGAAAGAAATAAAATATTTTTAAAAATCACTGCAAGATTAGAGACACATACAGACTGAAAGTGAGGGATGGAAAAACATTTGCCATGTAAATGGAAACGAGAAAAATAAGTCAAGCTAGCAATTCTTACACCGGACAAAATAGACTTTTTTTTTTTTTAAGTTTTATTTATTTATTTGATAGAGAGAGAGAAAGCACAAGCAGGGGGAGCGGCAGGCAGAGGGAGAGGGAGAAGCAGGCTCCCCACTGAGCAGGGAGCCCGATGCGGGGTTCAATCCCAGGACCCTGGGATCATGACCTGAGCTGAAGGCAGACGCTTTACCCACTGAGCCACTCAGGTGCCCCTCAGACAAAATAGACTTTAAACAGACTGTGTTGGGGCACCTGGGTGGTTCTGTCAGTTGAGGATCTGACTTTTGGTTTTGGCTCAAGTAATGATCTCAGGGTCCTGGGATTGAGCCCCATGTCCAGCTCTGCAGTCAGCAGGGACTCTTCTAGAGATTCTCTCTCTCCCTCTCCTTCTGCTCTCCCCCTGCCCACACGCTCTCTCTCTCTCTAAAATGGATAAATAAGTCTTTTAAAAAAATGAAAATAAGTATAATGAAGACTATAACAAGAGACAAAGAAGGACCTTATATAACAAAAAAGGATCAACCCAACAAGAGGATGTAACAATTGCAAAAACCATTATAAGAGCCTGACTTCAGGGGTGCCTGGCTGGCTAAGTCCATAGAACATGCAACTCTTGATCTTGGGGTCATGAGTTCAAACCCCACGTTTGGCCTAGAGCTCACTTCAAAAAAAAAAAAAGATGGACTTCAGCATGGCAATATGAGGGACCCCACAGACCCAGTGTCCAGAGAGACAGGTAAAAAGTATAAAAGGGCAACCATTTACAGTATGTAGAAGTGATCCTAAAGGCATACACAAATGAAGAAACCTCTATTCAAGAAAATCCACTAGGATTTTAAAAGAGTGTGTGGTATTTGAGCCCAAACTGTTCTCTCTCTCCTTACCCCTGCTCCAGATTGGTGCAGCCGAGAACCCAGGGCCCCTCTCCCCTCTCAGCTCCCTGTCAGAGGGTTTCTTCCAGGGAGGAACAGGAAGGACATCAGCATCTGTCATCCTCCACCAGCTCCCTGTTGTTGAGACTAAGTTCTGGGTAAGTGTGGCCAAGAGGTGGGGACTCCCTTCTTCTGTTAGGCCCCCACTCATGGAATGGAGGCTGCGTTGAGAGTGGTGTCACGTTGAGCGTTGTCGTCCCTGCCCTGACTCGTTAAGGTGGTGGTTTCACGCCAAGAGAGGCAAGCTGCCTCCCATCCTTCACGTGCTCAACCCCTAAATGTATCACTCAGAGAGAAGCACACCGTTGTCCCCACCCCAGCTCCAGAGCCCTGGCTCAGAGATTTGGTGTGTGTGGGGGGCGGGGAACAGAAGCAGGCTATAACATACATAGGTCCTAATCACTTCCCAAAGGAATTGACTTTATTTGCAAAGAGGGTGGAGAAGTTCAAGCCTAAGGGTGCTCTCAGAAACAGTGGAGGTTGTGGTGAAGGGAACTGAGAGCAGATTGGTAGATTTGATGAAGATCAAGTGTAAGCCAGCGGGTTTGCAGGAGAGAACCAGGGAAAGTGACAGCTAGTAGGAACCCTCCTGAGTAGGAACACTAACTTCAGGTGCTACTCCTTCAGAGGAGAGGGAGTCTATCGAACAATTTCTGCCCCAGGGCATTATTATAAACCATAGAGCAATCAGAGAGCAATTAATGGAACCGAACAGCTGGATATGGTCAGGGAAAGAAGTGCAGTGAGCCCAGCCCAAGTCGCTGCCAACCTAGGGTGACATACAACCCAAACCACACTTCCCTGCGGGGCAACATCAAAGGTTTAACACTTCATGGGAGTCGGGGGTGGGAGGCTTCACTAAAATAAGCCAGCCAGTCATTAAACAAGCAAATAACATGCCTGAGATGGGGAGTGGGGGTCCAGTATCCAGAGTTGCTACAATATATTATCTAAAGTGTTCAGTTTCCAACAAAAACATATGAGACAAGCAAAGAAGCAGGAAAGCAGGACTCTGCTCTCACACTGGAAAAAGGCGGCCACAGGAACTGCCTGTGACTGTGGCCAGATGTTGGATTTAACAGACAAAGACCTGAAGTAGCCATGAGGACACTGTCAAATTCAGATTCAGAGGCAGAAGTAGCAGCATTAGAATGGAAAACGTCTGCTCTCTCAGGAATGACGAAGGCCCCTGGTGGCATCAACGGGGTGGGGGGTGACAGTTTCAGGGGTGCGGTAGGTAGCCATAGAGACAGCATGGACTTGCCCCAGCCAGAGTGGAGCAGGAGGGTGGCTGGAGCTGACCAAGGACCGGGAAATGGCAGGTGTAGAGAGCTCGGCTGAAGCTGAACGCGTCGTGGCACCATTCTACTCTGGAAGGAGGTACTCCCAGGCCCTGTCAGCCAGGCCAGGGTGCAGGCAGCAGGGTGGAGGGCACGCTGCACAGGCAGATCTCAGAGCATGAATCCAGGTGAGGGTTTTGCTGGGCAGAAAGCCAGGAACACAGGGGAATCGGGGTTATGATGAGAGAGTAGCTCAGATGATGACCCCCAGGGGTCATAATCTTTCCTGCCTGGACAGGAAAGAAAGCTTCAGGGCTGATGTGCTGGGAGGCACACAGGGGCAGAGAGATGGAAGCTGGGTGAGGTTGTAGGTGAGGAATAAGAACACTGGGTGGACAGGGCGCCTGGGTGGCTCAGATGGTTAAGCGTCTGCCTTCGGCTCAGGTCATGATCTCAGGGTCCTGGGATCGAGCCCCGCATCGGGTTCCCTGCTCAGTGCAGAGCCTGCTTCTCCCTCTGCCTCTGCCATTCCCTCTGCTTGTGCTCTTCTATCTCTCTGTCAAATAAATAAATAAAATCTTAAAAAAAAAAAAAAAAGAACACTAGATGGACAGATGGGAGGCCTTGGTCTGAGGTATTAAAGGCATAGGAGGTAGACTGGAGTCATTAACACAGGAGGTGGGGGGCCAACTCCCACACAGGAAGAGAACTCCCCCCCCCCCCCACACACACACCTTAAGGCTGGAGTCCAGACAGGTGGAGGCTGGGCTGTGGTGGGAGTCAAGTTTATAGTTTTAAGGATGGAAAGTTGAAGAAATGAATAGTTGGCATTGAATGACACTTTAGACCAGACAGACCTAACAGATATATACAGAATATTCCATCCAGAAACAGTGGAATACACATTCTTTTCAAGTGCACATGGAACATTCTCCAGGATAGATCACACATTAGGCCACAAAACAAGTCTCAGTAAATTTGAAAAGACTGAAAGAAGGAGGAGGAGGAGGAGGAGGAAGAGGAGGAGGAGGAGGAGGAAGAGGAGGAGGAGGAGAAATTAATAGGGATTCCCTTTTTCTCTATGAAGTAGAAGAGACATTTGGTGAGAGCAAGGGTGGGCGAGGGATTCACAGGCTCAGAGAGAGGGTCTGACGTTTTATTAACCACTGAAGAAAGGGGATAAGGTGCTGATCAAGGGATAAGTGACATCCACAGGGATTTTGAGGACTAAAACCCACAAAGGTGGAAATGAAAGAGTTGAAGCCATTGATTCTGAGTAGTGCCTGCCAAGAGGGTAGCAAGGAGCAGCTCACCCGGAGGGCAGTCTTGGAGTGAAGGGAAGAGCCATCCCATTGTGAGTGCCCTCCTGTGACCCCCCTGATTTGGCCCACATAGGAGGAGGTGAGCCTGAATGACCCATTCCTGCCCAGAGGCGCAGGCCCCAGCTTCTCGGGAAGACTTGCAGTGGGACAGATACCTGTTGCTGCACCCAGACTTCTCGCACACGTGAAGGACAGGCGAGGGCAGAACATTCCTGGAAGGGATGGGGTCCCTTTCATCCTTGAAGTTCCTGACAGCTGGGGGCTGCGGTATTTCACAAGCTTTGGAGGTCTAAGACCCTGGACTGCCTGCTGGAGAATATACCGTCCCACCTACTGCTCACTCCTGCGGAGGGCTCTGTTTCGGGGCGGGGGGGGGGGGGCGGTGCAAAGCTGCCCTGCCCTTCTAGGTGACGCCCTACCTGGTGACACCAGAGACCCCGGCGGCCCAGGACAGTCACCAAACGAGGGGAGGAATGGTCCCAGCTCCCCCCATCCATTCCACCCCGGCGGGAGTCCTACCTACCCCGCCCCTTCCACCTCCAACCCAGGGTGGGCTCCTCCATCCTCCCCGCCCCGCCTCAGCCGTCCTCGAGAACCGGCCCCTCATTTCTCCCGCCCTTCTGGAAGGAGCCGAGGTGCCGGGGCCAGGCCGACAGGTCCTGAGGGTCCTTCCGAGGGGAGCCCCCCTGCCGCGGCTTTCCCGGCGCCAGGCGCGCGGAAGCGGCGGGTGCGGGCCGGGAGCCCGCAGGGCGCGGCCCACCCGGCAGGTGGCGGCGTCTCCCGGCGCCCCGCCCCCCTCGCCGGCCCCCGGCCCGCGCGCGCCTGCCCTTGACCGCAGCGGGACGGCGGCCGGCCCAAACCCCCGCTCGCCCCAGCGCCCGGGGCGGAGAGCAGCGCCGGAGGGGCGCGGGCAGCTCCGCGAGCCGGGGGGCGACACGCTCGCTCCCGGGGCCCGCCGACGCGGCCCGCGAGGGTGCTGCGAGCCCGGGCAGGCGCGGAGCGGCAGGGCGGGGAGGCGCCGCGGGGGCTGGAGGAGGGCAGGGCGGCAGCCTCGGGGAGGCCGGCCCGGCTCACCGGGCCTCTGCCCTCCGCCCGGGACGGCGGCGGACCGGGCGCCCGCGGGCCGGGGCTGCATGGGGCTCCCGCGCGGCCCCCTCTTCTGGCTTCTGCTCCTGCTCGCGGCTGCCTGCTCGGGGGTCCTCTTCACTCTGTACTCCTCGGCAGTGGGGCCGTACCCGGGGCCCCGGTCCGGAGCCAGGTAGGGGCTGCGGCGCGGTCCGACGGGGGTGGCTCAGGGGACGCGCGGGGGACGCGCGGGGCGCCCAGCCCGGGCCCTCCGTCCGCCCGCCGCGTTGGCCTCGCTGGGGTGGCTCGCAGCGGGGACTCGGGCCGCGGCCTTTTGTCCCCGGAGCCTCCACCCGGGCGACCAACCTGCGCTGCCCGGGCCACAGCCTCTGCCGGGGTGCGAGAGGGACCTCGCGCCTTGCGCACCGGCCACTCGCTCCCCAAAGCCTTGTGGGTTCGTTCCCTCCGGCCGTGATTCGAAACACTTTTTCTATTGTCCAGATTTGGCTGGGTCGTCTGAGTCCGATAAAAAACAGCCCCGTTTTTGTCAGGAAGGCTCCCTCCCTAACGTCACATTTCTCTGACTCTACTTTTGGGGGAGGGACCCGAGACTCCCGGTTCCAACTTTGCCGGGATCCTCGGCTCGCCTGCGGCGGCTCGCCTTTCCCGCTCGCTCGGCCTGCGCCCTCCCCGCGCCCGGCGCCCCGCTCTTGCCCACCCGCTGTTTGCTCTGTTCATTTTGGATAACGCGCCGTCTGGGCGCGATCCGGCGAAGCGGCGGACCCCCCCCCCCCCGGGAACAGGGGCAGATCCTGGGCTCCATCCAAGTTCCCCTTCTCGAGCCTCCTCCGGGCTCCCCTCCCTCCCGCTCGCCCAGCGCACCTTCCTTGCATTTGTGCTCCGCGAGGATAAACCTACGAGCCTGTGTCTGGTAGGTGATGGTGCCAGTTACTGAGGAAGCCTCCAGAGAATTTGGTTTTGCGTCTGGGAGGCGGATCGAGCTGTGCGGGAGTCTGGATTTGGGAGGCCGCGAGGGCCCCCACAGGCTCGCCCACCGGCCTCGGGGCCGGGCTCTCCCCTCAGAGCACTTTCCCACCTGCGCGCCCCTCACCAAACCTTGCTCCAGGCATAACGGGATGAAAGGAAAGTTATCTGTTCTCAGGAAACGTGGTCAAAAGGCATCTAAAGTTGCAAAACAACACGAAACACCTGCAACTCATTATGAGCCCAGTCCCTCTAGAACAAAGGGTGTTCTAGCCGCTGGTACCTGGAATTACTTCATCCCCTTGTAGTCAGAAATTGCGTAAGGTGAGCGACTGAAAATTTGAGGGTGTTAAGAGAATCCTTTGTGAATTTTACGTAAAGATGTTTTGAAACATATTTCAGCATCCTTTGAAAGTATCTAATAAACTTTAAATGTGAGGTTGTTGAACATCCATTATGCCTCAACAAAGTTTTTACAGGTCTTTCATCTTTTATTTATTTTTTATTTTTTAAGAGATTTTATTTATTTATTTGAGAGAGAGAGAATGAGAGACAGAGAGCATGAGAGGGAGGAGGGTCAGAGGGAGAAGCAGACTCTCCACTGAGCAGGGAGCCCGATGTGGGACTCGATCCCGGGACTCCAGGATCATGACCTGAGCCGAAGGCAGTCGCTTAACCAACTGAGCCACCCAGGTGCCCTAAAGGTCTTTCATCTTTTAAAAAGCTAGTACAAGCCAAGAACTTGTCCGCTTTCTTGCTGTTCCCCTAATGTTGGCGATGTAGCTGAACCCCGGGGGTTGGCTGGGAGGGCCTCACTGTAGGAGGAGGGTATTTAGTGCCGGGAGAGGTGGGAAACTGGACCGTCTGGAGCAACTGGGAGCAGGCTGTGTGACCGCCCCCCACCACCCCCCACCTGGGGTGGGAAAGCAGATGGCCTGGCTAGCTGGAGAGCCCCGGGAGGGATGAGGGGTGGTGTTGGGACCCGGTCTTAACCACACCTGACAGCTCTCATTGAAGGCTAGAGAGTGGAACCCAGCCCAGGAATTTAACCATGGCAGAAGAATCTGGGTCAGGAGTTTCCAGGCATTGGGATAGCTAGACTTGTAAAAATAAATAAATAAATCTTTTTCATTGGTGGGGGAGGGGGCAGTGGTGAGGATAGAGATATAGGCCACCAGTTAGCTGCCAGTATCTGTTGTCAACATTATTTTGTAAAAGAAAGGACATCCAAGGGCCCAGAGTTCCTAAGCATGTGATCGAAATTGAGTAGATTTCTTTTCATGAGAAATGGCAGTTTGGCTTTCCCCGGTTTCAGTCACCCCCAGGCACACCAGGTCTGGGAGCAGATCAGCCTCCTCCTGACATAGAGACAGAGGTCGGTAGGAGCCTAATGGTAGTCAACAATGTGGCCACCGCTCCCCTCCGTCTCTTCACCTGGCCTATTTTGTCATCTCCCACTGTCACAAGAAGGGTGATATTTACCGAGTAAGATATTTACAGAGACCACACTCACGTTATACTGTTACGATCGTCCTATTTTATTATCAGTTATGGTTGTTAATCTCTTACTGTGCCTCATTTATAAATTAAACTTTATCATTCGTATGTATGTAGAGGAAAAAACATAGCTTGTACAGGGTTCGGTACTATCCACAGTTTCATCCACTGTGGGTCTTGGAGCTTACCCAAGCGGAGGGGAGGTCTACTGTACAAGGTCCTTATTTCTCCTCAGGCCGGTGACACTTCTGGGAGGGGCATAGGTGGACTGGCTCCCTTGCCCACCCCTTCCAGGCTCTCCACGCAGGTGTGTCTAGAAGCCCTGGGATTCCTAAGGAGGTCTGGGAGAAGTCACTGAGCACGGAGGGGTGCTCTGGAGATGAGCAGGCCTCCCTGAGGCTGGGGTGTTCAGGACAGCAAAACAGAACTGGGGTGGGGGGCTCTCCAGCCCGTCCCCAAGCTGCCCTGGCCAGCAGCTCCCTCATCTGGTTCTCAAACCTGGCTCACGCTAGAATCACCTGGGGAGGAGGCCTAGACCGGTCAGATCAGAACTACAGGGGTGAGGCCCTGGGCTCAAGGTGTTTTTCAGAAGCTCCCTGGGGATTCTCACCGGCCCTGACTGGGGTCCCAGTTCCTCTTCAAAGGGGGTCCTGTTATGCTGAGGAGAAGAACTACAGGATGGGGGGTGGGGCAGGTGGCCATCCGAGGGGGAAAGAGAGGGATGCGGGAAGGAATCATCCCTGCTCTTCCCCGGCTGCCCCTCCAGGGTCCTCTGGAAACCTGAAGTGAGGCAGGTCGCACGCTCCCTTGCAGCCCAATGGGCTCAGCACTGTCAGAAGCAAAAAAAAAAAAAAAAAAAAAAAGCAAGTAACAAGAGACCTTTATTTCCTTGCAAACTGCCTCCTGATCCAAAATCTTCCCCACCTGCTTTCTTGTGACTGGGCCGGTGAGGGGTCCCTGTCTTGAGAACAGAGGTGGGGTGGATACTTGGCCTGCAAGGCTAAAAAGAAGCCTCAGGCTTCCATGGGAAGCCTGACACCCTTTTGAATAGGCAAAGGCCCCTAGTCCTTCTGTTCTGTTTGCTCTCTCCTCTGATGCAGGGGCCGCCTGGCAGGTGGGAGTGGGGGTGGAGAGTAACATCAGCCCCTTCCCTCCCTCCCGAAGGGACAGTACAAGGTCCTTTCCCTTCTTCCTTTAGGTAACAATAGCTACCATTTAGAGGATGCTTTTTGTATGAGATAATCTTGAGTCTCTATGTGAACCCTTCTAACAACTGGAGATGTGATATGATTAATAATGATAATTAATCACTTGATTATATCTGCGGTCCAGATGCAGACACTGAGGCTCTGAGAAGTAACTTCCCTAGATCACGGGATACAAACCTAGGGAGTGAGGCTTCAGACCCCTGGCCTCCACAAGGAGCCACAGGGCAGGAGCCAGGAACAACGGCAGGACGACTGACCCCAAGAGGAAGGGGGACCACGTCAGTCATCTGGGACCAACCCCTCTGGGGCCTTGGCAGGGAGCTCCCTCAGAGGGCGGCAGGGGGCTGGCAAGCTTGCCTAGTGTATGTTTTCATCCTTGAACCAGATCTCACTGTTCTGTAAACTCCACATTTCTGCTGCTTGCCATGGGATTTCTTGGATTTCTGGGTTTAGAAGGCTGAGCAAAACATACTAATGTGACAATATTTTTGTTCCTAAAGAGGGAGACATGGGCAAAAATCAGAGCCTGGCAAGATCAAAGGAATGCCATCTTTGACTTTGACAGGCTTTGTCAGCCCCTGGAGCTAAGAGTCAGACAGAAGGTTCCGAGGGACAGGTCCGACCCCTGCTTTACTTCTGCTTCTCCCCCAGGAACGCCACATCGTCTCGAGCATTCTTTGGACGCAAGGCATCAAATGCTGGAACAAGAAAGGTACAATGGTCGACTCTTCTGGCAGTCTAGCATCTTCAAGTTAACGGGGAGGAGGGGACAAAGAAGAGCAAACGAGAACATTCTCGTGAGACTGTTGGGCAGGAGCTCTCTGGACCCTCTAAACATGACACGTCAAGCTGAGCAGCCAGCCAGTCCTGGCCACCAGGGTTCCCTGCACCCCAGGAGCAGAGAAGGGGTGTAGCCAGGAGAAGAGTTCTTAGGAAGTCTTAACTTTTTTTTTTTTAAGATTTTATTTATTTGACAGAGATAGCAAGAGCAGGAACACAAGCAGGGGGAGTGGGAGAGGGAGAAGCAGGCTTCCTGCCAAACAGGGAGCCCGATGCAGGACTCGATCCCAGGACCCCGGGATCATGACCCGAGCCAAAGGCAGACGCTTAACAAATGAGCCACCCAGGAGCCCAGAAGTCTTATCTTTAAAAGGCATGTGAGGAGCGCCTGGGTGGCTCAGTCGTTAAGCGTCTGCCTTCGGCTCAGGTCATGGTCCCAGGGTCCTGGGATCGAGCCCCGCATCGGGCTCCCTGCTTGGCGGGAGGCCTGCCTCTCCCGCCTCCACTACCCCTGCCTGTGCTCCTCTCTCACTGTGTCTCTCTCTGTCAAATAAATAAATAAAATCTTAAAAAAAAAAAAAGGCATGTGAATTTGACAATCTACTCAAAGTACCTTTTTTTTTTTTTTAAGATTTTATTTGTAAGTAATCTACACTCACCGTGGGGCTTGAACTCAACGACCCCGGGATCAAGAGTCACATGCCGTACAGACTGAGCTGGCCAGGTGCCTTCTTACTATAAAATTCACACATTTTTAACCTGCTCTCCATGGAGTAAACAAGCCGACCTTGGAAAGATGCTCCATGCTTGCACAGGGGGTTGAGAACCTTCTAGGCCCTGCTCCATCACAAATTGTGCTGCCTCGAGCACTTTACCCATGTTCTCTCACAAAAGCCGCATGGCAACCCTGTCCTGTAGCTTTTACAGATGGACACAGCGAGGCACAGAGAGATCAGGTCCTGGGTTTAAGAGTTGTGTTCATGCCCAAGAGACCAACCTGGGACTTGTTAGCTGAGGCCTGCGGGGGAAAAAGATTCCACTTCATGTAGAACGTAGTGACAGCTAAGCTGTTTTAGAGACAGAGCAAGTAGCCCTGGGCCGGTGAGGGGTCCCTGTCTTGAGAACAGAGGTGGGGTGGATACTTGGCCTGCAAGGCTAAAAAGAAGCCTCAGGCATCTTATGGGACATCTTTTAAGTTTCCTAAAGCCCTGAGCACCTTGAGCTGCTTGATGCGAACGGACATATCCCCACTGGGTTTTTTGTTTTTTGTTTTTAAGATTTTTATTTATTTGACAGAGAGAGATAGCGAGAGCAGGAACACAAGCAGGGGGAGTGGGAGAGGGAGAAGCAGGCCTCCTGCCGAGCAGGGAGCCCGATGTGGGACTCGATTCCAGGACCCTGGGATCATGACCTGAGCCGAAGGCAGACGCTTAATGACTGAGCCACCCAGGCGCCCTCCCCACTGGGTTTTAAAAAAAGGACTCGAGGTGGCTTTTGGATACACACACCAAGGCAAAAATATAAAATAGAATAAAATGAAGAAATGGCCAAAGGAAAAATAAAGGTAGGAGAATAAGACAGTGTCATGTAGAGAAGTGCATGAACGATGGGCCACATCGTTCCGTATTCCCTATCCCATAAATAAGGAATAGGCCATAGATCTGGCTCTGAGCTTCCTGGTGGCCACAGTGAAGAGGGAAATTTGCCATTGTGTCCATGAGGTAATAGCAAGCCAGCTGCCCAAGTGAAGTACAGCCTTTCCTAATACAAAGACTGAAGAGTGTTCTCCTGGCATCTCTTAAAGAAGGCCCTGGAAAACATCCCAAAGATGAACTGAAAGGTAGTGAAATTAGTAGTTGGTTCTGCTACAATGCTTGCTTTGAAAATGTGAATTTGTTCCAATAAGATGGGTATCTTAGGAAACAATTTGAGCATAACACAAACTTTTGTTTGCTTCTGAGTGACTCTGTCATTGAGAACACTAAGGTTAAATGCAGAGAACTGCACCCAACCGAAGGGAGCCTCGAAGGAATTCACAAAATGTACACACATGCGCCCTTCAGATATGCACTTCATTGTTCTCTAACCCTCTTTGCACTACTTCACAGTAACTCACCAGCTGCCAGCCTCCTGAAGCTCACTCACACAGGCAAACGGCAAGTCTTCTCCAAGGTCAAGGGCCATATGTTTAGTGGAACATGGTAGATCTTAACCACAGGACGTGTGAGGCTGTGCCTCCATCTTTGTTAGGCCCCTCGTTTGTCCTGTCATCCATCACTGACAAAGCTTTTGAGTGTTGTGCCACTCATCCCATTTCCCCAAAAGCCCTGTGGTTTTGACTGCACCCATTTTGCATAGTGTGGTGGTTTTTAGGCATCCATAGGTAATGTTATAGCAGAAATTATTGCATAGTTCCTTCCTGCATTGGTCAAACCAGCAGTCTTTTTTTTTTTTTTAAAGATTTTATTTATTTATTTGAGAGAGAGAGAGAATGAGAGACAGAGAGCACCAGAGGGCAGAGGGCAGAGGGGGAAGCAGACCCCCCCCGCCGAGCAGGGAGCCCGATGCGGGACTCGATCCAGGGACTCCAGGACCATGACCTGAGCCGAAGGCAGTCGCTTAACCAACTGAGCCACCCAGGCGCCCTCAAACCAGCAGTCTTAACAAAGAGCCCCCTTCAGTGGGAAGGGTAGCCCCATCCAGGGCGAGGCAGTGCAGGATTCAGACATTGGGGGTTGCAGGCAAATGGGGTGGGACCCTCTTCAGTACCCTCCCTCAAGGTCCCTGCGCGCAGAGGCACTGTATATTTTCCTAGAGCTTCTGAAAGGAATTAGCACAAACTGGGGTGTTGAAAATAAGAGAAATTGATTTTTTCACAGTTCCAGACTCCAGAATCCAAAATCAAAGGGTCAGCAGGGCCACCTTCCTGAAAGTTCCAGGGAAGAATCCTTCCTTGCCTCTTCTAGTTTCTGGTGGCGCCAGAGGTTCTGTGGCTTATGGCCAGGCCACTCCAGTCTCCGTGTGTCTTCACGGGCTTTATAAGGACGCCAGTCATTGGATGAGGGCCCACCCTAAACTAGTATGACGTCATCCTAATTAATTACATCTGCAAAGACCATATTCCCAAATAAGGTCACATTCTGAGGTTCTGGGCAGACACACGGGGGCGGGGGGACACTAGTCAACCCAGTCCAGGTACCACCTGTATGAAAATGATCATAATCTTTCCAGCAGCCCGTCCCATACAAATCTTACAGTGAGAACAGCCAGAGCTAGGATTTGGATCCAAGCTGACGGATTCCAAAGCCCAGGCTGCAATTCCTCCACCAAAGGGCAGGCGGGTCTTACCCATTTGGTGGGAAAACGCCCCAGGGTTGCTCTAAGTGTGAAGTGAAGGAGTAAGAGGCCAGAGCCACCAGGCCCTGGATAGGTGGCATCCAGGAGAGAGAGGACTGGGCAGGGTAAATCCAGAAAGCTCTCTGACCCCCACCACGCCGCTGTGCCACAAGCCAGCTCAGCCGGCAGGTCTGGGGGTGGACCAAGTCTGGGGGCGAAGCTCCTCCAACCAGCCTGCAGGGCCTGCACGCTCCTAGGAAGGTTGCCACCAGCCACAGCCCCCAGCTAAGGGAGCTCGGCACTCTCTGTCTCCTGCCCCACAGAGCCCGCACTGCCGACACTCACTTTATCTGGCCATCCAGAAGCACCCCCACTTCCGTGCCCTGTTCGAGCTCTCCACTCCAGTGCTGCTCTCGGGGGGCCTCTTGACTCAGGAGCTCTGGGACAGACTGAGCCAGCACAAAGCCCCCTATGGCTGGCAGGGGCTCTCCCGCCAAGGTAATTGGAAGTGGCTGCTGCTTGCCGAGCCCTCTGGCCCCAGAGAATCCCTTCCTCCTGCTTTTGGCCCAGGTGCCAGCCCTGCCGTCACAGGACCCCCCACCTCCCTGCTCCCCCCCACCCCCCCGCCCCTTTCTTTCCAGGAAGGTCTCAGGGCTCAACCCCCCCCCGACTGCTGTGTGACTCCTGCCATACCTACCAGCCCCTACAAGCACGAGGGGGTCAGGGAGGGGGCTTGATGTGCCTGCTGACCAGCGCTCACCTCCTGGGGCCAGCGTCCCAAGGCGGCTGAGAACGGGCTGGGGGTCCTCAGCCAGCCTGCCCATGGTTCCCGCTGTGGGAAACCGCCCAGAGCACCCCCTGCCCTTCAATCGGCCTCACATTTTATCGTGGAGCATACGGTCTTGAGAGGACTAGTTATTCGAGTTCTTGAGGTGACTGAGGGTACAGCCAAATCCTCCCCCCCCCAGTTCAGCCTGCATGGCCCCACTGACATTTTGCTCTCCCCCCGCCCTCTGTGCCTTGGATGGGGCTGGTGTCAGGCCTCTGGCAGGGGGCGTGCCAGAAACAGTCTCAGGACAGCCCCCGCTCATGACGCCCTGCCTGGTCTGGCACCCACAGCCATCAACTCCACCCTGAGCCTCCTGAATGGCTCAGAGAGCTCCAAGCTGTTCGCCGCCTCCGGGAAGCCGCTCTCCACGTGCATCCGGTGTGCGGTGGTGGGGAACGGAGGCATCCTGAATGGCTCCCGCCAGGGGCTGAACATCGATGCCCATGACTACGTGTTCAGGTATGCGGCGCAGGAGCCAGGGAGGAGGTGGGAGAGGAGCTGGGAATGGAGCTAGTCCCCAGCCAGCCCCTGGGGGAGCAGCCTCTGGGAGGGCCATGGCCGTCGGGACGGGCAGGCGGGCCTGGACGAAGGCCTACGTGCAGACAGACCCCGAAGATGGGAGTGCCAGCAGGGAGGGAGCCGCCGGGGCCAGATGTGCCCATTTCACAGGCCATCCCTTGAGGTCTGGTGGAGCAGGGACGGGCTGGATGGGGCACTGGTGCTGCCTTGGGCAAGGGGCACGGTCTGCACAGAGGCCTGGGGGCAGGCGCGGCAGAACCCCGGGGAAGGAAGTACACACACAGCATGTGTGACCATCGGGAGGCTGACGGACCTCTGTTTGGACCAGACTCAACGGTGCTGTGATCAAAGGCTTCGAGAAGGATGTGGGCACCAAGACCTCCTTCTACGGCTTCACTGTGAACACAATGAAGAACTCCCTCATCTCCTACTGGAACTTGGGCTTCACCTCCGTGCCACAAGGCCAGGTGAGGCTTCTGAGGGGCCTGCCACTGTCACTGACGGTCGGTGGCACTGTTCCCGGAGTCCCCTCTGTGAGGCGAACCACAGCGGCCCCAGTCCAGTAGATGGAGAGCTTGTGCCAGGATCCTGGGTGCATGTGATGGGGCCACTGAGGAGGGGGATCTGGGCAGGGACACCCCGTGGTTTCTGGCAGCACAGAACTGCTCTGGAGTAGAGCATGAAAGCCTAATATTCACTGGAAGCTTATGGGGTGCCAGGCTCTTTATGGGATGCCATGTCAGCCCCATTTTACTGCTGAGGAGACTAAGGCTGGGTGCCCTTCCTTCAGCAAGGTCTCCCCCCTCCCCCCGACCCAGAGCTCACGCTACACACAGGGGAAGGGTACTTAGCGCCTCTTCTGTTCCCGGCACTAAACATGGTCAGCTGCCTGTTTCCTGATGGCAGCACATCCATCCAAGGCCACCACGCAGCTAAAATCAGCAACTCCAGGCCCCTCTGACCACACTAGCACTAGGGCTGTCTCCCATTTCCCTGAGCTGCGCTCCTGATCCCACAGCAGCCTAGAAGGGAGGCTGAGGTTCAAAGGCATGGAACCGCGTGCCCAGCCAGGGAGCAGGGGAGCCAGAATTCGAGGCCACCCACTGCCTGCGGCTTGTGCAGTCTCACCCAGTTGTGGGAACACTGCTCCTCCCTTCAAGAGCCGTCTGCGTGCCACATAAAGAGGGGAGATCCCAGGATAAGGGCTCTGTGGTGCTCGATAAGACCGGGCCGAGTTTCTGGAAGCTTCCTCCTCTGAGCAGGAAATCCAGGAGTGTCGTAGACACAGCAGGACCTCTCTTAGCTCGTGACAGAACAAAAGAGAGCAGCTTTTATTTCTGGCCACACTACCTGTATGAGTTACCACTGCGTTAATAAATTACCCCAGACTTGGTAAACGACAAACATTTATTATCTTACAGTTTCAGGGGGTCAGGAATTCGGGAACAGCTTAGCACAATGGTCTTGGCTCAGGATCAGCAGGGGCTATGGGCACTTGAAGGCTTGAAGGAGGCCAGAGTCAAGATGGCGCCTCTCTAGGCTATAGAGTGTCCCCAGGTCATGGTGGCTCACTTCACCCAGTGCGAGGGGTCCCAGGGAGCTTTATAGCCTCGTCTCCAAGGTCACACACCATCCCTTCCTCTTCTTCCTATTCATTAGTCACTCAAGGGGATGGCAGGTAAGCCTCACCTACCAGATTTGTGACCACGCACTGAAACCACCATGGTACCCAGGGGTGGGGGTGACAGGCAGAGAGCAGAAATTCCCCCATCAGGACAGGTGGCAGGACCGGGTGGAGGGCTGAGCAGGCACTGGACACAGTCTTGTTCGGGGGGGCCAGGGGGGACTGGCTCAGGGTCTCTGTTGCCCTGACAGGAACTGCGCTATATCTTCATCCCCTCTGACATCCGGGACTACGTGATGCTGAGATCGGCCATTCTGGGTGTGCCTGTCCCCGAGGGCCCTGATAAAGGGGACAGGTGAGCAGCAAAGCGGCTGTGGGGTGTGGTAGTGCTGGGACCACTGTCAGGCTGGGAAAGTGGGTGAGGACAGCAAGAAAATCCCCAAGAATTCAGTCGACTGTTGGGGAATTACGCTCTTTTTTCCTACCCCCAGAGCAGCCCAGGTAACCCTCCTGGTCCCCAGGAGCCCGCCTGATGAGGTGGGCTGTAGCCCTGAAGGGCCGCTTTTCTGAGTGGAGCAGGTAGGCCCGGCTCCCCAGCTTCGGGCTGCTGGCCCCTACCCCACACAGCCCCCCAGCCGGCAGCACAGGCCCCGCTCGTCCACTCCAGACTCTGCTGGCTTGCTGAGCACACTGTGTCTGGAAGCAGAGTCGGGGGGCCGGTATCCATGGCCCTCATCCCAGTGGGCACCCTCCCAGGACTGTGCCTGTGAAACGGAGAGCAGGTGATGTGGGCCCAGTGTCCTGCAAAGAGAGAACAAAGGGCACTCTGTCTTTTCTCCCCCACCTTCCCGGGCAGTAGGCCCGTGTCCAGCTCTTTTGAACCATGTCCTGGCCTCAGCCGAACCTTCTCCCTGTGGTGCTGAGACCATTTCTTGTCCCAAAGTCAAGTCCTTAGAAATCCATGCCACCTCTGCAGCCACGAAGACCAGCCTTCCTATCTCAGTGCTTCTGGACCATGCCGCCCACCCCCGAAAGAGCAGATTCTGAGGTCCTTAGGGGTTAAGCCCTCAAAGGCCAGGCCTGCTTACTCTGGCCCACCTGCACCCCGCCCCCCCTTGTGACAATCCAACAATCACTTGTGACACCGCAGCTGGTCATGAGGGGGGGGGCTTTGTGACACGGGGGGGACTGGGCTCTTGGGGGGGCTGGCTCAGAGACATCGATCGGGTGGTCGTAAGCCTCCCCAACACCAATGAGCTCCCCCTCCCATACCCCCAATCCATCCCCTACCCAGTCCCCCTCCCAGTCCCGGTCCAACCATATCGCCTCTTCCAACCAGCAGGCCTATTCCAGCTCTGGTGGCTCAGCCCCTTCTCCATCCCCCACCCGGGGGTCTTCCTCCCGGCCCCCCTCTCACCCTGCCACCCCATCTGCCTCACAGCCCTCTTCCCGGGCTTCGTCCCTGACCCCCAGCCCTCATATCCAACATGTGCCCCGAGGGTCTTCCCAAAACCCCACTCCACCCACCTCCAAATCTCCTTCCCAATCTGGCTTGAAATCCCTCTCTCGAAACTCTTCCCAAACGCCTCCCGTGCCTATCCCCCGGTCCCCTTCCCACAGCCCCGCCACCTCAGCCTCCTACATCGGACCCATTCGGGGCATCCCCTCCCACATCGCCCCCTACGTGCCCCGCTTCCTGAAGGAACCCCCCTTCTTCCAGCCGCCCACCATACCCCTGCCCCAGAACCAGTGCTTCCCCTGCTCCTTCCCCTGCCCGGCCCGGGAGCCCCCTCCTATCCCGGACTCTCTCTACTTCCCCCTGCTCCCACCTCCTCCCCACCACCCCCGGGTCAACTGCTCCTTCCGGACCCCTCCCGCCCTGTTCACGCCCCCCTCCTCTCTCACCTACACCCTGCCCACTGAGGTCCTGGTGAGCGGAAAGCCACACGTGGTGCCCACGGTGTTGCCGGCCACCTTCTACACGCCCTTCTCCCGTTACTACCCCCAGCCCCGCCCGCACCGCGCGCACCGCCGCAGGCCCAGTGCCTTTCCCCTCACCTCACTCTCCAACTTGCCCTACGACGGCCCGGGCCGCTCTGTCCACTTCTTCCATGGGTCCTAGGCCTCAGACCTATTTCGGACCAGAAGCCTCTGCCAGGAAATTCAAGCTACTACATCCAGACTTCATCAGCTACCTGAGGGAGAGGTAGGTGTGTGTGTGGGGGGGGGCGGTGCACAAAGAACAGCTCCTCCCTCCATCCCCCCTGCACACCAGCCCATCACTGCAGGTCCTTTATGGCCCAGACACTGTAACCCACAGCGAGAGCTAACCTGTATTGGGCCCAAACACAGGCAGTCCAAGGCGACCACAGGGAGGAACCTGGAAATACCCGCCTGATCTCACCCCTCCTTCCCTCCCTCAGTCCCTCTCCCCCTACCAGTGGTTCCAATATGTGTGTGTGTGGGGGGGGGGGTCACGTGCCCCTCTGTGGAGACATTCTGGTTGTCATTAGGTAAGCAGCACTACCAGGCAGACACAGGGATGCTGTTGAGCATCATACAATACACAGAATGCCCCTGCAACAAAGAATTATTTGGCCCAAAACGTCAGTAGTGCCATGGCTGAGAAGCCCTGCTGTCACCCCCTGGCTGGCATCCCCAGAGAGCAGGTGGCGAATGGCGAGTGGATCTGGGGAGACCGACTGGAGCCGGCACTCACAGCCCCACTCAGCAGAGGAAGAAACAGGCTCGGAGAGGCTAGGCGGTTTGGCTGGCAAGGCGTAGATGTGAATCCGGGCTGAGGTCAGGCCTGTGGCCACCGCACTGGGCCTCACTTTTGCATTCTGAGAGTGTGTGTGCACGCTTCTCTCACCAGTGACTCCAGGCCCAGGACCTGGGTGCCCTGCCCCTCATGTCCCTCATAAGGGATTCTTGCTGGGCCGAAGTCTGTGGAAAGAAAGAAACCTAGGTCTCGGGCTAAATAGGCCACCTGTCCCCTACCCACTGTGGTTACTTAGCCCAGGGGTGAAGGCAGGGTGTTGCAGAGAGGAAAGGGGACTCAGGCTGGGTTCACGCTTCTAGAGTGGGAGAGGATCCCTGGGGTTCTTCTGCACAGGCCTGCTCCTCTTTCTCACCCCACTCTGTTACCCACACTTGGGCGTTTGCTTCATTTGGGTTTTTTCCTATAAATGGGGAATGGACTGCACTAGAAGAGCCAGGAAGTTCTGAACGGTTTTCCAGGCCATCTGAACTGGTGGCTGGAAAGCCGAAGGGCACAACCATCGAGTGAGACCTACACCTCTTTCTTGAGTTTTGATGCCGCTTTTCGTCTCCAGGTTTTTGAAATCAAAGTTGATTAACACAAATTTTGGAAACCTATATATGCCTAGTACTGGGGCCCTCATGCTGCTGACGGCTTTGCACACCTGTGACCAGGTAAGAGGCCTTCCCTTTCGGGAGCCCACAGCAGCAGAGGACAGGTGTGGGTGGAACCTAATCTGATCCATGATAACCCCTACAGGAGGCCTGTCACCCCCAGGCCTGGGACTCGGCCTCTGCCCTCTGGGGAAGGGATTCTCCAGCTGCAGGAGCAAAAGCTGGTCTCTGGAAGGGGCAGGAGGGAGTGCCACTCCTGAGCTACCTCCACGTGGGCTACGCAGGGGCCTTTCCAGGGCAGGTGCTGGGCCAGCCTTGCCCTCCTCCAGGAGCCACCTGCCCACGCACCTCTGTCCTTCACCCCTGTGGTATTTAAGGCGCATGTTATCAAATTGTTCTTGTGAAAGCAAAATCGCAAAAGGAGTGGATAAGGACATCCTTCTAGAACTGGGCTGGGCAGCAGGTTTAGCCTTCCACAACCGTTGAAATCACTGCCTGAGACGTCCCCAGTGCCGCCCACATGAGTCCAGCAGAGGTTGAGAAGCACTTTTCAGAGAAGGGCAGTGAGCCACACTAAAGCCAGGACAAGAGCTGGAGATCAAGGGCCGCTCCACGACGCTGTCCTATTCCTTTTCCCAATTTGTTCAAAGCAGCAGTCTCTTGACTGTGCTCCCATCAGAACGAGCAAGTAGTAATGGGCGTTTGTCTCCACCTCGAGCTTAACGAAGGAGATCACGAATCACAGACCCGACTCTGAATCCCAGCCTGGCCACTAGCTAGCTCGTGACTGAGGACATGTCCGGTTATCTCTCCGAGCGCTTCCCCACTTGTAAAATGGGGATAATACCTGAGATTATCCTGAGGCTGAGAGAACGTGTACAAGAGCCAGGGCCCGCTGTTAGCTCGAGCTCCAACTATTGTTTATGTGTGTCTTGGACAAGGCGGGGGCGGGGGGGGACCGTGCCTTTCCCAATTCATGTCACTTCACAATTCTGTCTGCACAGAGCTCAGTAAATGCTAATTCAATGACTATCCTTGTCCAGGTTAGTGCCTATGGATTTATCACAAGCAACTACTGGAAATTCTCTGACCACTATTTCGAGCGAATAAAGAAACCACTGATATTCTATGTCAACCACGACCTCTCCCTGGAAGCCACCCTGTGGAAGAACCTGCACAAGGCCGGCATCCTTCAATTGTACCAGCGCTGACCCGGAGGTAACCAAGCCCTTTGTTCTCGCAGAGCCGTGGACCCGTGGCCCCGGCCCCTCACGTGGCCTAAGCGGCCTCGGGTCTTTTCAGCCTCTGAGAAGGGCTCCAGCTCCCCTCCACCCACCCCTTCTTCTCTAGAGAACATTAAGAGGTGGATTTGTGACTCACTGAAGCTTGTTCATTGTGGGACACCCCATTTTGTTCTTGGGTTTCTCCAAGAAAACTCCCCTCTGGGTTGGAGACAGACATCCCGACCTTGGGTGAAGGGAAAAGACTGCTCTGCTGGATGTTTTAAAACTGAAGGTAACACAAGATGAGATTGTGACCCTCACCAGCGAAGGGCAAACCTGCTTCGGAGCAGAGGATCTCAAAGCCAGCAGCTGGTACAGAACCTGAGGATGTCGGTGCGACTGCAGACATGTCCATGGACCAGGGTCAAGCAGCAGGAGGCTCACACTCCACAGCCAGACCCTCCCACGAGCACGTCCAGCTCCCAGCACCTCCACGACGACGGGCTCTTAAGACACGCCTAAACCACCTGAGAACATGACCACTTGCCTCCTCCTGCCCCATGATAAAGCGGGAGCACAAACGGCAGAATGTAATTTGAACTAGGTACTTGAATAAATGACAGGATGACCCTTGTGTCTTTTCTGTGTGTTGGGGAGGGGGCTGGGGGTGGTACACCACAGTGTTTAGCATGCAGATCACTCAGAAAATTCAAGAACGATGGGCCAGCCCTGGTAATTTGACAGGGGTCAACTGCACAGAGGGCTGCCGGCCTAAGTCGTAACGGATGGATTACCACCTGGCCACCGGAAAGACGACACGATCAGGTAATGAACCCTCAGCTTCACATCATGGCTTCAGTAAATCTGGGCTTAGATGATAGGCAGTTTCCTTTTAGACAGAGCACATGGGCCTCTGTTGGAAGGGTAAGTCTCAACTAACCAAGATATCACCATATATAGGCCTTAAGCCCTGGGATTTACTGGCCTAAGGACTAGTAGCTCGAGTCTGATCTGCTCCACTGTCCAAAGCCTGCCTGAGGGGGTACGGATCACCACTGGCTAATTCACCAAGGCCCAGGACCTGGCCTCCGGCTCCATGGTTTTGGAAGGCAGATCCTATGAGCATGTTTTAGAGGGATGAACTGTCACTGGAATCAAACTACTTTAGAAATTCAGGTATGTGATCAAAGACCTGGGCATTCATGTCAGAGGCAGCTGCTTGAACCCACCACTTCCTGCAGCTGGCGAGCAGCGTAGGCTGGAGGGGAGTAGCAAGCAGGAGGCCAAGGCCTCTCCCTTTAGCTTGGCAACATCGAACTGTCCCTTGATCTCAAAGACAGCAGTGTCCCAAGTATATTTCTCTGGAAAGAATTATTGGCCTGGGAAGAACACCATCAAATGTGGGAAACCTGGTACCAAGTAATCAGTCCCTTCTGCCACCTGACAGTGACCTTTACTAGTAAAGAAATCCAACTGCCCTGGTAAGCTAGCATAGCCTAAGTCAGGACGCCTGGCCTCCTTGTATCCAGGACACTTGTCCTTATTCCCGTCGCATCTGTAGCTATCAGAACCTAGGTCAATCCGTTACACTTGAGAAATGCTGACGTTATGTTTGTGGGTGGTAACCCATTAAGAGGGGCAGAAAATCAATTTAGTGGGGAACTTCTAAAACATGATTGCATCCTATGAAACTCGGGGGACCTCAGTGGCTCAGTCGGTTAAGTGTCCCACTCTTAGGGAGAGGAAGCAGACTCCCCGCTGAGCACAGGGCCCAGACGTGTCTGACTTGATGTGATTTCAGCTGGTGGTCTCAGGGTTATGAGATCGAACCCCCCGTTGAGCATGGAGTTTGCTTGTGACTCTCTCTCCCTCTGCCCCTCTTAAAAAACAAACAGTATTCTGTGAAACCTTCATTTACGTAAGAACATGTTAGCTAAGTCACAGAATAAAACCCCAGTATGAGGGTCTCAACGTGAAATCCATGTTACAAAAATCCATTTTTAAAAACTTTTATTTGCGCTTCAAAATTTAAGCCCAAGATACAGTAACTTCACAGGAAATCCACTCTGAGAAACCTCTTTCTAGGCGGAGCGCCTGCTTCCCCTCAGTCTCCCCAAAACAGAGCACACACATATTAACCCTTTTCGGTTCACAATCATGCCCTCTTGCCAGCACCCCAGCTACACCCACATCAGCTAAACCGTGGCATTCTGGATGTTACACCCTGATTTGACTGCCAGCGGGACGAGCTGTCACTCAAATTCTTTGGCTCCTTTTGCAGACCAAGTCCAAAGAATTCTTCAATTAGTCTCCCTTTGGGGGATTACTTTGCAGGCACTAACAATTAGCAACAGAGGCCGTGCTGCTCCACCTGCCATCGCCTGTCCTGAGGAGATAACCTGCAAGACCAAAGGAGAGTCATTTGATGGATCAGTCAAGCAGGGGACTCAAAATTGAAAGCCAAACTGAATGAAGAGAAGGCAATCGTAGCAGCGCTCACTGTAACCAAACATTAGGCCCATGCTGTTGAGGGGACCACCGGGCACAGAATGCGTCAAAGCAGGCTGCTAGGATTCCCAGAAGACCCGGAACTGCAGCCTGCCCTCGGGAGCTAATGCGCAAAGGGAGCAGGGTCTGGCAAGGGGCCAGGGAAGAACCACCACGAAGCACTGGGGACATTCTCATTCAACCCCTTTCTGGAGGTTAAGCTTTTCAAGTCAAACCTAAAGGTCTACGTGAGTCCCGTGGTGCAGTCAAATCTACTCCGCAGGAACAATAAGGCAAGAAGTCAACTTCCCGACTTGCTAAAACATATACTTTTACTGGGGCCAGTTTTCAGGCTTATTAAATCCCACCCCAAATCTAGCTTTCTTGGTAACTGAACAATTATGTGACCTTAAATACAAAAAGCCCATACATAGCCCCCAATTTCAACAGAAAAAGGCCATCTGCCCACTCTAAGGCTGGCATTTAAATGGGAACAAAGCCAGACACCCTCCCGGCCCAGTATCACTGGGCTACTTCCTTGTTCGCATGACAGCCCCTCAGCCCTCGGCTACCCCAGGAGAAGCCCCATGCCCATCATGTTGTCCAGACCTGATCTCAGCTAACCCTAGGAGAGCTCCCTGGTGTAGTAAACAAAGCACCTGGAAACCAAACAGCTCTGCTGGTGCCATGCCTTCTTTCCTCAGTGTCACCATGTGGTGCAGAGGTAGGTCACAGTCCTGTCGCAACCGGCAGACTTCCGACATTCCCGTCGGTTTCAAAGACTGCATTCATTTCCTCGAAATATGGGACAAGCGCTCTTTCATTCCACAGTAAGAACATGACCCACACCTGGGCTACTTGCCCATTTCTGCCCCCTCTGAGAGCCTGTACCCCAGGAATATCGATCAAGGGGCCTAGAGTGCGACAGGGCAGCCACACCATCAGTTTTCAAGCTGCAGAGGGACGATGCACTCGACTGGGGTCTTCGCAGGGTAGACAATTCCATCTGGAGTCCGTTCAGATTGATCCCTGATAAAGCCTCAACTTCTAAGAGCAAAGAGCCAAACCCCAATGCCTCAGAATAGATGGTTTCCCCTCAGCCGAGATGTTCAGACAGGGATAACTAACCATCATAGGCTTGTGGGGCTTCCTAGGGACACGAAAGATGGCAACAAAGACCACAAGCAACAGAGTTCTTTCACTTACTTCAGGCAAAGCAGGTCAGTTCTGTCTCACACACCGCAGACATCTAGCAAAGAAAACAAACCCACATTAGGGGCGCCTGGGTGGCTCAGTCGTTAAGCGTCTGCCTTTGGCTCAGGTCCTGATCCCGGGGTCCTGGGATCGAGCCCCGCATCGGGCTCCCTGCTCCGCGGGAAGCCTGCTTCTCCCTCTCCCACTCCCCCTGCTTGTGTTCCCTCTCTCGCTGTGTCTCTCCCTGTCAAAAAATAAAATCTTAAAAAAAAAAAAAAAACAAACCCATGTTAAAATCTCCCTGCCACTCAGCACAATCCTAAACCCGAGGCAGGAGCAGCAAAACAAACATCCCATCCAAGTCTACTTGGAAGGGCTCTACTTACGTCCGAAAGCAAAGTCTCCACTTCGGGGCCAGGGCAGCGGACGAGGCGCTACCTATCTGCTTCTGCAGGATCCTTTTCCAGCCGCAGAAACCGAGGCTGAGACTGCACCTGGCAAGAAGAAATTGCAAAAGAAAAACCTACTCAAGATATACACAGGTTAACTCTCAAGTAGCTCACCCTCAAATCTGGCCTCCATTTTTTTATAAAGCAAACTTGGGAACTGAGTTTCAGACATCCATATTCCACAGAAAGGCCTTTCTTTGCCTTCAGACAGGGATAACTTTAGATCATCATGGACTCAGCTCCCACCAATCCTCCAGCCCACGGGCCGACCCTTCTAGCAGAGGGAGACCACTTTTTCCTTACAAAATTCTGCTTTGCTTCCCTCATTAGGAATTCTCAATCTTGTCTACTTTATTAAAAGAACTTTCCTTCAAGGTAAAAACTGCTGATACCTAGTGCCCAGAGGTACCCAGCATCCCAGACCTGACTCACTGACACTTCCTGCCCCCTCCCCTTTTTAAAAGATTTTATTTATTTATATGACCGAGAGAAACACAGCGAGAGAGGGAACACAAGCGGGGGGAGTGGGAGAGGGAGAAGCAGGCTTCCCGCGGAGCAGGGAGCCCGATGTGGGGCTCGATCCCAGGACCCTGGGATCACGACCTGAGCCAAAGGCAGACGCTTAACGACTGAGCCACCCAGGCGCCCCTACTTCCTGCCCTTTTAAAGACAGAGTCTACCCTGGCACAAAGTACCTGATAGCAGAGTATGTGTGGGGTGTATATTCCAGTGTCAGTAAAATGTGCGGTTACTCCTTTGGGACATTCTGTTGAAGGCCAGCTGTACAAAGGGAACCCGCTGCCAGAAGGCACCATCACACAAGGTCATTTCTCTTTCACTCACCTCTGCATACACAAT